AGGACATTGGGTGAGGAAAGTGGAAATGAATCGTATGGCTCAAGCATGCTTGGTACGCTGTGGAGTAACAGGAAAGACACATTGCCAATGTGTTGAAGGCCTACCTTCTCGGGGCTGGGGAGCTAACTCAGTAGAATAAGTTCAACCACTTGGGGTGGGGGGACGTGGGGAGACCTGGCTTTTTACCTACAACCACTGTTTCCTGGCTCTGTGGCTCAAGCTTTTACTTCTTCCTCCTAAGGTTCAACTTCCTGCTCCCTGAAGTCAGTTAATAGAGGAAACCGAATCAAAGACCCGTGTGATTAGCGCTTGTCAGGCAGGTGTTGTACCACTGAGCTATATTGGGGCCCAAGGTCTTTATTCTCATAGACATTCTTGTTCAAAGTGAAAGTCACACTTGGTAAAAGTCACAAGGCTTCCAGTTTTAGATTTAGAAAGCCTTTAAAATTGTACTTATATACATACAAATACAGAAGAATATTAGCAATTGGTATGAGTCCAGGTGAAGGGTAGGTATGTGTGGTCCTTCTACTATCTTTGCAGCTTGTTTGTTTGTGTCTTCAGTGTCGGGGATAGAACTCTGGGCCTTGTACATACTAGGCAAGTATTCTAACACTGAGCTCTACCCTTTTATATTTTTATTTTGAGACAGGGTCTTGCTAAGTTGCCCAAGCTGGTCTTGAATTTGTGATCTTCCTGCCTCAGCCCCCTGAGCACCTGGGGTTATAGCCGTATACCACACCACTGGCAGCTTTTCTGTAGGCTTGAAAAATAAAAAAATTAGGGAGAAAGAAAAATCACTCTCGATTTTTGAGATAGGTGGGATTGGAGGTTCTTCTGTCTTTCCTCTTCTTCCTTCTATTCCTCCTCCTTCTTCTTCTTTTCCTCCTTCCTCTTCCTTTTCTTCTTTTGGGGACATTGCAGATTGAACCCATTTACCTGAGCTACATCCTCCTCCTCCTCCCCCCATTTTTCTAAGAGAGGGTTTCACTGAGTTGATAAACTGCATGAGCTGGGCTCAAACTTGACATCCTCCTGCCTCAACCTCACAGAGTACTGGGATTATAGACGTGTTGTATACTGAACAGGAACTAGTGTTGGGATAAGGGCAAGAAAAGAGGCTGGGGCTGGGGAAAACCCAGAGAGGAAGCATTTCTTCCTCATGTGGTGAAACAAGTCTCAGGGAGAAAAAGGTAATTTCTGGAAGATTTATCTCCATGTAGAAAGCATTTACTGTTGATTGTATTTCCATGGAGTAGGGTTTGTCTTCACGGAGAAAGCCTCACCCAAGTGCTGGCCGAAGGTTCTGGCTTAGTCTTCTTTTGGCAAATATTTGGAGAAAGGTCAGGCATGACCTGGGCTTCTCATAACTCATAACTTCAAGGAGAAAGTAACAGAATGAGTCAGCCAAGCTGGGGGCTGAAGGGCCCGGATTGGTTTTACTTGGGCTGCAGCTGACTCAGGAGACTTGAGCAAACCTCTTTCTTTCTCTCAGCCCAGCTTATACGCCCTGGTCTGTAAGAATCTCTCAACTGTTTCATCAGAGTAAGGAAGACAGAAGAAAGAGAGGAAAAAGGAATCTGTTCCTCTGTATATTTGTATTCTGCTTATGAAGTTGGTACTTGGAGAAATTAGCTGGTAACCCTCATCCATGGTGAACTGTTAGAAGCCGGCCCCTGGAATCAAGCCTCTGTCCAGCCCTGACATGGATACGGTGCATCTCACCCAGATCTCCTTGCCCGGCTGGTGCTGGCTCATCACCTGCCGCCATTTCTTCTTCTCTGAAGAATGACTCTTTCCAGCGGGACGCCCTTACCACGTGGGCTGCACACAGACAGGCCCTGGAGTGGTGCTCTGGTTTCACGGTGCTCAGCTCTGTGGTGCAGGGGGGGAACTTAGCTCACAGTGGTGTCTCGGTTATTTTACTCTCATTGCTGGGACAAAATACCCTACACCCAAAATTAAGGAAGGAAAGGTTTATTTAGCTCACAGTTAGTGGAGGTTTTGGTTCACGCTCGGCTGGCTCCGAGGCAGAGTGGCACAAGGCAGAGGGCAGCAGTTCATGGTGGTGGAAAACAGCAAAGAACAAAGGGAGGAGCAGCAGCTGCAGCAGCTAGCAAGCCTCTCTCTTCCTTATATTGTATTCAGGCTATCTGCCTCAGGGCGGGTGTAGCACTCACACCCATAATCCCAGCATTGGATCATGAATAAATCACAGAGTCTAGAAACCTGCCCCAGGGACTGCATGAGGCTTTAGGGAGACAGCTAGACACAAACCCTAAGAGGTGTTTCCTGCTGAGGAACATCCTTCTTCTTCCTTTCTACCCTCCTCTGCCTGCTTCCCTCACTCCTCCTGTCTTGAGAATTCTCTCTCAATAAAGTGTTTGAAGATGAATCCTTGGCTCAGGCTCTGCTTCTAGGACACCCATCCCAAGAAGAGTATTTTCTAGCTGTATTAAAAACAAATGATAGCAGTAGTAACAGATGAGACATCAAATCAAGTTTCCACGGCTTAATGTAGTAGCTGTTCCATGGGCATCATGCCCCCTAGGTGGAGCACTGGAGGAGGGAGTGTCCTCTGCTGTACTCACATGTCCAAAGGCTGAGACCACTGGAAGCCCTGTGGTCCTCCACGTGTCACTCTGACCCTAAGTCATTAGAGTCACCTTGATGTCAACATCTCTTCTCAAACACAGACTGAGAAGTAACAGCAGTCATTTCTGCCCATGTTCCATTTATAACAACTAATCACAAGGAGAAATGTGGTACCACACTCCGGACAGGAAAGAGGGATCTTTGATGGATAGTTGTCTATGCCAAACTGTGTAGCTCTAGACAGCTTAGCCCCTGTGGGGTTTGGTGTCTTCACCAGTGAAACTGGGCTACTAATAGGGCCTTTTGTAGCTGTGGCTATTCTTTTTTTTTTTTTTTTTTTTTTTTTTTTTTGCGGTACTGGAGATTGAACTCAGGCCCTTGCACTTGCCAGGCAAGCCCTTATTCTACTGAGCCATCTACCTTGCTCAGTTATTCTTTTTTAATCTATCTGTCTGTCTGTCTGTCTGTCTGTCTGTCTGTCTGTCTCTATATCTATCTGTGCCAGTGCAGCATGCAGTATAGGGGTTGAACTTGGGTCCTTGTGCTTGCCAGGCAGGGGCTTATACCACTGAGCTATCTCCCTAGTCCCACTGCGGTTATTCTTGATAAATAGTTGGAGCAGGTCGTGGAGCACAGCAACGATCCATAATATTAACTACCTTTATCATTTGTTAGCAACCTACTTTGGCTCATATGTAGATCCTAGTATTCACCACCACCCAGGCAGTGGCCAACGCATCTACTTTAGAGAAGAGTGAACAGAGAAAGGTAGTCAATAACTCATTGCCCACAATCAAGAGTCTAGAGTAGGGCCTGAGAGTAAGCCCAGGAGAGTTAGATTTGTAGCTTCATAGACCCACCCGTCTCAGCCCGGGCAGTTGTCACATGAGATGTGCAGGACGCCCAAGAACGTTTCCTTAATGTGCCTTAGGCCTGTGCTGCCAGGCACAGCCAGCCCTGCTGCTCAGCTCTCCTGTCACTGTCACACACACCAGCCCAGCTGCCAACCTTTTCTGTCCCCCTTGCGTATGCTAAGCTCGAGCCAAACACAAGGAGTTTGCACCTGGCCGTCCCTCTGCCACCAATGCTCCTTCTGCAGTCCATCCACAGTGGCTTTGCAGTTTTCATTCTGCTTGTGACTCAGATGTCACCCTCTCAGGAAGGTCCTCCCTGATGCCCACCCACTCTGTCACTTACTGAATATCCTCTCTAGAGAGTGTAGGTAGTTTAGGCACCATGGGAGATAAGAAAAACATGTCCCTACCCGCCAAGACAAATATTAAATTTGCAAACACAAATAAGAATACAATGTACGCAGATGGCAGAAACGAACAGGTAGTTGCGAATTACATGGTCACTTCTCTTTCTCTTCGGCTCTTGTGGTAGCTCCTGCCACCCTGAATGCTTTTGTAATATCTGTATCTATATCCGGTGTCTGTTCTCTTTCTCTCGTCTCATGTCCCCCCAGGAAGATGGTCTGCATATATTTGGATGATAAATATAGAGGAACTTTGGGAACTGCTTGATGTACTTTTGGTAGCTTAAAATCAGATGTGCTGCGAGGATCTGTTGAAAAATAAGTCAACACTTGTAGACATTATTTTGTGAAAAGCCATTCTTCTGGTGTGTCACCTTTCCCATATCTTTGTGGCACAGACAATTTGCAGTGTCAGGGAGTAGCCTAGGCTTCATGGACATCAGGCTCCGCTAGCCCCTCCTTCCTATACCATACCTCCACTCCTTCCCAGGTGAAACTCCACAGGCCATGTGCGATGAGAAGAGAGAAGACAAGAGAAGGCTTAAAAATCCCAAAAAGGCAAATAAAAAAAGGCATTACAGGCAGGGGGTAAAAGAACCAGCGAGCCTGAGATGAACAGAGAGTAGGTCAGAGGGAACTAGCAAGAAGTCCCCGGGAGATGGCTCAGTGGAATAAGCGCTTCCCTGGCAAGTGCAAGGGCCTGAGTTCAATCCCCGGTTCTGCCAAAAGAAAAAAAAAAAGAAGTCCCTACACTTTGCACAGTGCACTAATAGGCAGATAGGGGGTAAAGGTTGGCTAGAATAAGCAGACACTGTCCTCCTGAATGACTCTCAGACAGCGTGGGGAAGGGGACCCACACAGCTGGGCACAGGAAGAAAGAGGCCTAGCGGTCTGAAAGAATAGGACCTCAGCACTCAAATACTCTTATTTCTAGTTTGGAGGGCATCTAGGGGCCCAGATGCCCCTACCTTAGGGGAGAGCACTGGAGCCGGGACTTCTGGGTCCAGATATCTCAAGCTTTCACACAGTAACCACTCAGGGGGTGGAGCCCTGCCTTTACTTGGAGGGGGCGGTCCATTACACACCCTTTCCCCAGGCTGCCCCGGCATTGTGAGGTATAAAGGGATGCATTTCCTGGTGAGAGGGTTTGTAGGGCACTTTTGTTACCAGCTGGACATGAGCCCTGCTCCACTGCTGGCCTTCCTGGGGGCCACCTTCTTGCTGCCTGGTGAGTGAAAATCCCAGCTGGGAAGAGTACTTCCCCGGAAGTCTAACAAGGAAAGGTGCTTAGATGAGTTTACTCTCCCTGTCCCAGGTGTGCAGGCGCTGAGCTGTAACCGGGGTGCTTTAGAGGGTGTAAGGAATGCATCAGAACTGCCCCTTGAGTGGACAACTTCCACGGAAACCTGTGAGATCGGCAAGGGTTGCCAAGAAACACTGGTGCTCATACGAAATGGTGAGAAGGGATCCTGCTGGGAAAGAGGTGTTGCCTGGGCTCAGTGCTTCCCACAGCATCCCTAGAGGATTCTAGAGGCCCCTCACCCAGTACAACCCTTCCAGTGCACAGTCCACTGACACAGGTCACCATGCCAATCCTGACCCTCTAAGATGTTGGAGCCCTGATTCCAACCTTGCCTGCCATCCTCTCTCCATCCAGGACCCCAGATTTCCTTGATTCTCACCAAGGGCTGCACTGAAGAAAAGGACCAGGAGCCCCGAATCACTGAGCACAGGGCAGGCCCCGGGCTCTCCATCATCTCCTACACCCGGGTGTGCCGCCACAGGGACTTCTGCAATGACTTGTCTGACACAGAACCTCTTGGGGGCCCGCCCTCTGCCACAGGTGCCAGCCAGGGAAGCTGGGGGAGGAGGAGAGGGGAGGGATGGCAAGAGGAAAGGGACCAGGCTGAGGGCATGGCTGAGCGCACAAGGGCCGTTGATTTACAGACATTGGCTTGCTGAGCCACGCCCTTGCTCGCTCCCTGGCCCGAGCCCTCACTCCACTGCTTGCTTCTCCCTCTTCCTGGGATCCTTCCTGGTCTGTCTCTTCTCGCCTCTTCCCCATTCACTCCTCTCTGCTCCCCCCATGCTGTCCACGTGCCCCTCAGGCCTCCCAGGACTGGCTTCTTCCAATATCCCTGAGCATAAAACTTACTTTTCTGATGTTAAATCTCCAGTCCAGACAGGATGTGAATCTTGCGTGGTCATTCCTCCTGTACTAGTGGGCTTGGCTCAATATGATATTACCACGGCTGCTTCTGTTTCTTGTGACATTTCTCCATCTTAGCCTGGCATTACCTAGCATTTGGGGCAATGCTTTATGTTTTTGTTCTCTGGAATATTCTGCAAACAGGACACCTGCAGGAGAAGCCAGGGCCTTCGCTTTCCCCAGAGCATCCTTTCCCTTCTGTCCAGGCTCTACAGACTGCTCTTCCCTTGCCTCCTGGGGTTCTCAGAGCTCTTCCTACTCTTGCCTGCCCGGGGTGTCATAATGGGTGTCCCATTTCCTCTGGCCCCTGCTCTCCTACTAACCACAAATTCCTAATTTCCTGCTTGAGAAGGGAAAAGGAGGCTTATGGGGCTGGAGACAGAACAGGTTGGACTTTTTGTTGTTGTGGTTCGTTCGTTCGTTTTCACCAGCATAAGCAGGTAGCAGGAAGGCACCTGCTTCAAATCCAGAGGCTTCTCTGGGCCCCTCACTCTGTCTGTCGCTTCTCTAGTCCCAGGGACCCTCAAGTGCCCGGTCTGCCTTTCTAAAGATGTCTGTTCAGAAAATGCCCCACAGCAGATCTGCCCGGCAGGATCCACTCACTGCTACGATGGAGTGCTCAGGCTCCGAGGAGGTAAGCCTGGACTCTGGGGTCCTGTGGGACGGCACGAAGAGCTCTAGCAACAGGGATGTGAGTGTCTTCAGGCTCACGTTAAACCGAGGGAGCAATGGGACTCAGAGGATGGTGGGCTGGACCCCCAGACATGAGCTTGACGCTGAGAACTGGGTGGGTGTTCCTGTTCCTGTAGGTCAACATCTCTGATTGCACCCCTGTCCTTTCCTCAGGGCGCATCATCACCAATCTGAGAGTGCAGGGCTGTATGCCCCAGCCAGGCTGCAACCTGCTTAACGGAACCCAGACAATTGGGCCCATAGATGTGAGTGAGAAGTGTGCTTCACGATCAGGTGAGTCCCCTGGGAAACCAAGGCCGTGCACTGCGCTGCAGCTTGGGGAAGCTGAGGCTGATGGGTATGGGATGTTGGAGAGCTTCCTATCAAATCCATCACACCTTAGTCATATAGATGGTTATAAATTGCTCCAGTACATGAAGACTGAGTCCCTGGATGACAAGGCAGTGTGGCCCATGATGTGTCCAGGTGAAGGACAGAAAATGGGAGTGTGGTGCAGAGGACAGATGTGTAGGACAGGATCCCACAGGTAGCATCTTAGATGATCCTGCAGCAAGTAGATTAGAGTGGGCTGTCTAGGTGCAGGTCAGGGGGCAGCAGGGGTCAATGTGCAAAGTGACTTCACGTGTGATTTCGAGTAGCCCTCAGGGCAGTCGCCTGCTGGTTGCCATGCTCAGAGTGACTGATTTCTGACACTTCTTTTTCTACACCCTGCTGCGTTTGGATAATCCCAGGTCTTCCACTTCTCCTGGCTACTCGCATTCTCTCTACCACTCTTATCCATCTCCACCCATAGTTCTGGAGCACCCCAGTGGCCTTGCCACACAGGAAAGAAAATCAGAGATAAAAATAAATGTGACTTTGTGGCTGTTTTGTTTTGTTTTTGGTCTGTTGGAGACTGGATTTCCTTATTCAGTTCAGGCTGGGCTTGAGCTTACTTCGTAGCCCAGCCTGGTCTCAAACTCACAAGGATCCTCCTGCTTCAGCCTCCCAGCTGGGAACACAGGCATGCCCTACCATGCCCAACATGGCTTTGGGTTTGACAGAGGGAAGAATTACGTAAACTCCCTGGGGACGGTTGGTCACTTTATGCAGCCAGGTTTTCACACTCCTGACAGTTGGAGACTGTCTTGGAGCATTTCACGTAGAAGCATCACAGGACAGAGTGAAGTCTAGAGGGGAAGTGAGTTGAGATGGAGGCGGGTGTTTCCCCAAGAACACTGTCCAACCCTCTCAGTGCCTCATCTCCGTGTCCCCCTCTATCGCTGTAATCCTAACAGCTTCAAGGAGAGAGTAGACGCGACCAGCAAGCACTCTGATTTGCTTTTCAATCTGTGTCCTTGGGGACGCTGTCTCCAGCGCCCATTGGTTGCTCCCCTACTATGGAGGACCCAGCGTGGCAATAGCTTTCCCAGGAGCAGCCTCGGAAATGGATTTGCTCCTTTGATCATGGATGTGCAGGTCATGGAATTCAGGCAGGAAATAGTGAGTCGGCAGAGGAGTCATCAGCTACCCCGTAGCAGTGGACTCTGTGGCACGCAGGTAGTAGGCACCCAGTAGAAGATGAGAGAAACACTCCCCTGCCTGAGTGGTAGATGTTAATTTGGAAACACCAATAAAAACACAGCGTGCACGCATGGCACAATCAAGTGTATGGCTGCGGTGACCCACGCGCTTCTCTTCCCGCTCTGCTGCTGTCCTAGCCCTCCGTCTCCCGCCTCTGCCTGCTCGCATACACATCTGCCTCTTGCCCCTGCAGTCACCCTTATTCCTCTCTCATGGCTACCACGGCGATGATTTGCGTGGACTTGGGGAGCTGACTGCCAATATGGGGAAGTTTGAGGAATGGGTTGAACCTCCAGTAGTGTAAAAATCAGATGTACAGGAGGATTCAACGACAAAAGTGAATACACACTTATGGGCATTTTTGTTTTGCAAAGCTAGTTTTCCAGTATTGCATTCATAGTATCCCTTAGCTTTACAAAATTTTCTTTTATTTTGAAGAGTAGAAACAAAAGCAAAAAAAAAAAAAAAAAAGCAAAAACAAATAGCAGAAACAGGGTAACATACAACAATACATATCTTACAGATTTTCAAAACAAGAACAGCTAATTCACACTGGTTGTTCTATTATCTATTTTTATCACGAAATCTGTTGTTCAGATTAACAGATATAGTGATGCAATACAGGACAAATAATTGAATGTTAACGCTTGCTTTCAGTTGAGGACTGATCAGGCCCACCATCTCCCAAATCGGTGAATGGCAATGGTTTAAATGAATGAGAAAAATCGTATGATTTCAGGGCTCCAGGAGGATCAAAAATCTTCTCACAGACTTTGAGATTTTCCCAGTTTTACACAAAAAACTTCTCTGAGCGGGCCCATGTTTATTAGCTTTTGAAATACAGGAAGCGGATACTGAAGAAAACGCCCTACTCCAAACAGGACTCGGGAATCCACTCAAGGACTTCTCCGAGTGATACATTTCAGTTTCAGAGAACTATGTTATCTCCAGGAAGGCCTTCACCTCAGGAGTGAGAAGTATTCAGCTACAGGCTTTGTCTAGCTCATCGAGGTTGGAGCCAGGTGTCCTTTGCGGTGGCCCTGTCCTGTCTTGTCCTTTGAGGCCTCATGGCTTCACCCACCATTAAGGACCTCAGTGGGCCCAGTGACTGTGAGTCCACTCCCCATCTCCAGACACGAGCCTAGGCCTTGGACAAACTCACAAGTAGACATGAAAAGGCAATTGGTTGACGGGAATCCTGCTCAGAGCCACTTCGTCATGGTCTCTGTCATTCTCGTATACCACCTCTCCAATATCTCTTTGGCAAAAAAAAAAATCTGCATTGTCCAGAGATACCTTAATTCTTCACAGATATTGGGCCTCCGTGACCTCTCCCTGCTCATATCAAATCTTGGCTCCAGCTCAGGAGGGACTCCATGGACTGTATTGTACTAGAAGGAGTGAGCTTGAGGGTCATGGAAAGGGGAATAAAAAGAGAGCCAGTAGACAGAGGAAAGATAGATAGAGAGGTAGACCAGTGGGAGACACGGCAGAGGCCAGGGAAGATAAATGGAGAAAAGCCACTGCAGACTGGACAGTGTCCTCAGAGCAGGGGACAGTTGGGATCCCCAGTGCCAGAAGGGTGCTATGATGTGAGGAAATTGCACCCCCCCACACACACTGAAATGGCATGGGGCACACAAAGCTGGGTCAAGGAAGAAAAGAGTAGGGGTATGGAAGCGTGGGCTCCCGGGGGTCAAGATAACTTCATTTCTACTTGTGAAGACACCCGAGGGTCCAGATTCCGGGTCTGAGGGAGAGGGCCTGGAGGCCTCAGGCTGAGACAGGATGAGTCACTGACATCTAAGCCTCTCAAGTTGTAGAGAGTGAGGCCTTGACCTTATCTGAGGGCTGGCTTTCCCCTGCAACCCCTATCCTGGGCTGCCTTCACATTGTGAGCACAAAAGGGGTGCGTTTCCTAGCAAGAGAGCCTCAAGGGCACTTCAAGCCAGGGCTGGACTTCTGGGAGTCATCTTCTTGCTGCCCTTTGCAAGAGGACTCCAGTCGAGAAGAAGCTTTCTCTGGAGGTCTAAGGAGGAAAGCTGCTCAGATGGACTTGCTTCCTTGTCTCACAGGTTTGCAGACGCTGGACTGCCAGTGGGGCTTCATAGAGACCGTGAGGAACATATCGGAGCTGCCCCTCAGGTGGACAGCTACTGACACAACCTGTGAGAGGGGCGAGGGTTGCCGAGAAACGCTGATGCTCGTAAAGAACGGTGAGTGGAGCCTTCTCTTTGCTAGGAGCTGTTGCATCTGACTGACACCTCCCCCGGCACCCAGTGAGGACTCTAGTGGTCCCTTCCACAGTCCCCAGAGCTAAAGCCCACCCTAAACAGGTGCAGCCTCGTTGGGGTACAGTCCCTTTGGATCTAGCATCTCCCTCCACTCACCATGTCAAACCTCCCTCTGGATCCCTGAAGCCCTGATTCCAACCCTGCCTGCCACCCTCTCTCCATCCAGGACCCCAAGTTTCCATAATCCTCACTAAGGGCTGCACTGAAGAAGAGGACCATGAGGCCCGAATCACTGAGCACAGGGCAGGCCCCGGGCTCTCCATCATCTCCTACAGCCAGGTGTGCCGCCACAGGGACTTCTGCAACGACCTGTCCACCACAGCCCCTCTTGGGGGCCCACCCTCTGCCACAGGTGTGGAGCAGGAATTCTGGAGGAGGAGGAGGAGAGGGCAGGGGTGGCAGGGGAAAGGGGACCAGGCTGAGGGGTTGGCTGGGTGCACAAGGGCTGTTTCCAGGCCTCCTCTTGCTGAACAGCAGCAGCCTCGCCAGCTTACAGCTTACATCCTGCTCTGGCTGCTTCCTCGCCACTTTCTTCCCGAGATCCTTCCTCGTCTGCCACTTGCCATCTCTTCCTCACTGCCTCCTCCCCACCTCCCATGGTGCTGCCCACATGTGCCTCAGTTCTCCCCTGACCAGCCTCATCCCACATCCCTGGGCACCAAACTTGCTTGGTTTTTCTGCTACTAAAGCCCGAGTCAGCCTCTGGTCACCATCTTCATCTGGACATTCTGCACACTCCTTCTTCCTGAACTGCGGGGTTTGCTTCCGTAATAGCTCATGGAGGGTGTTTCTCCTTCCTCTTCCTAAAGGCTCTGGCCTGTAATGTTCCTCTGTCCCAACACAGGGTTACATAGAGTTTGGGACACTTTTGTGCTTTCCTCTTCTGGAGTATTTTGTGAACAGGGCGCCCTATCTATATTAATCGCTTAGCAGGACTCACGGTGGGGGAGGAGCCAGTGGTTTCTTCCAGGGCAACTTCTCCCTTCCTTGGCCAAGGCTGCATGGGTCCAGCCTCACAAGACCCCTTCCCTCTGCCGCCTGGCTTCCCAGCACCGCTCCTGCGCCCAGCCCCAGGTGTCCCTCGGGAGCCCACACCCGCTTCTGGCTGTACTCTCTCCCTAGTCATACATCCCTAATTCTCTGCAGCTGGACCTGCATGAGAAGCAGTATAGTGGAACATGAATGCGAGGGGGTGGGGGCCGAGCAGATGGCATTATCTGAACCAGAATAGCCAAGGAAGGGGGAAGCACCTGCTCCAGATCCAGAGCCTTCTCCATGCCCCTCACTCTGTCCCTTCTCTAGTCCCAGGGACCCTGCTGTGCCCGCTCTGCTCGTCTAAAGATGGCTGTCCAGAAAACCCACCACAACAGATCTGCCCAGCAGGATATACGCACTGCTACAACGGAGTGCTCAAGCTCAGGGGAGGTAACCCTGGACACTGGGCTCCTGTGGGGACAGGAACGGGACCACTGGGAAGTGAGAGTGGAGTCCCTGTGTAGTAAGGGTAAACTGAGGGAGGACACAGGACTCGGAGGAGGGTGGGCCTAGCTTCCCAGAATTGGCCTTCCCTCTGAGAGTTGGATGACCCACTAGGTCAGCATCTCTGTCTGCTCCCCTGGCCTTCTTTTCTCAGAGGGCATTGCCACCATCCTGAGCGTGCAGGGCTGTCTGCCCCAGCCAGGCTGCAACCTGCTCAATGGGACCCAGAAAATCGGGTCCATGGATGTGAGTGAGAACTGCAATCCTAAGTCAGGTGAGTTCTACAGAAGAAAAACAGGCTGTGGGCTGCACCGCAGGGTTGGAGAAGACGTTGCTTCACAGTATGGAACTTGCCAAAGCCAGCGGCCCCGGCTAAGGCAGATGTCTGTTTCTCATTCAGGCACTTGCACAGTGACGGTCCCCTGGGTTTCAGGGCCGTGAGCTGTCAGAAGGGGTCTGTGTGAAGGAGGGAGAGGGAGGAAGTGGGGCCCAGGGGACTCATCTACAGGACGGGGTCTCACTGGTAGCACTTTAAGTGATCCTGCACCAACTAAATTAGAGTGGCTTGTCCATGCTCAGAGAAGGGGAATGGGAAAGTCGGGGGTGTGCAGCAGCTTTGAATGTGACTTTGTGCAGCTGTCATCGCAGACCCATTCACCTGCTGTAATACTGAGTGATCGCTTCTATTCTCCGCCCACTTGCCTTGGCCACTCCCTTTGCTCTGCCATCCTCTTTCATCCCTAAAGTCCTGGAGCACCCCCAATAGCCTTGCTATACACGAAAGAAAGAGAAACAATGGATGGGACTTTAGGGTTGACATGGAAGGGGAATTACACGGAGACTCTGGGTGAGAAGTCCCCACTTACCTACCTCATGGGGCCAGACTGGCACACAGCTGACAGCTGGAGTGTCAGGGTAGCTCCAAAGAAGGCTTGCAAGATAGTGAGGTCAGGGCAGAGAATGAAGACAAAAGGGGGTGCCGGCTTCCATGGTCTTCCCTCTCCGGGACCCAGTTCCCTCATCTGTCTGTGTCCTAATCCTTAGAGCTTCTGTGACAGAGCAGAATGAGATACGCAAGCTCTCACACTTGGTGTTTCAGTCTGTTTCCCTGGCGAGTGCGGAACACGGAGGACACGAGCCGGAGTCACTCACATCTGGGTCTCTGGCCTCCTGCACCTACAGGCTGGCTCAGAGCAGTCAGCTTGTGGCTCCCTGTGAAGGAGCAGCTGACCTGGCCGCAGAGTTCCCAAGAGATCGGGTACAGAAACCTGCTCCACTGTATTTGCTGTTTGCATCCTAGATGTGCAGCCCTTGGAGTGCAAGAGGGGAGCACTAGAAACCATAAGAGATGTGTCAACTCTTCCACTATACTGGACAACCGGCTGGGAGATCTGTGCCATCGGCGAGGGGTGTCAAGAGACAGTGGTTCTCATCGTGAATGGTGAGAAGGGCTGCTGAAGCGCCACGCTCTGCCCCTGCAGCACTTGGTGGGCCCAGTCTGCGGCTTTCCAGCATCTCATCCACTGCATGATACCAAAATTCTCTGTAGGATCTAGAGCTCTGAGCGCCACCCAAACCTGAACCTGCCTCTGTGTTTCCATCCAGGAGCCCAAGTAGATGTGGTGCTCACCAAGGGCTGCACTAAGGCAGAGGACCAAGAGCCGCGAGTCACCTGGCACAGGACAGGCCCTGGGCTATCTGTTGTCTCCTACACCCACGTGTGCCGCCACAGGGACTTCTGCAATGACCTGTCCACCACAGAGACTTTCTGGACCATGCCTCCTTCTACAGGTGCTAGAGGTAGGCAGGACAGGAAGACAGGGAGTGGCACAGCGAGAGGAAGGCCAAGGCTGAGGGGTTGAAGTGAGGGGTCACCATTCACTATGAGAATAACATGGGCTAGTTATTCTCTCTCTCTCTCTCTCTCTCTCTCTCTCTCTCTCTCTCTCTCTCTCTATGGTAATGGGAATTGAACTTATGACCTCTGCTTTGCTGGGCAGGCACTGTGCTACTGAGCTATCGCCCCAGCCCGGCAGACACTCTCTTGTTGCATAGTAGCTCTGCTAGCCCACTAGCTGCACCCCTTTCTGATCCCGATTGCTCCCTTGGCTGCTTTTTCTCAGGCTCCTTCCCTGTTCCATTAGTCTTCACTCACACTCCCTCCCACCCACTGCTGTACCCACACTCCCCTCAGTCCTCTCTGTCCAACTTTCCCCAACAGTTCTGGAGCTCCCAATTCCAACTCTGGCCATGATACTAACATGCTCTTTCTGCACAGTCCTTCCTATACTGTTAGGTCCAGTCCAGTAACACCTCATAGGAACTGTTTCTATTTCCTCTTCTGAAAGGAAACTGGACTGTGACATTTTCTTTTCCAATCTGTTAGAGTTTGGGGCAATGTTTTGTTTTTAGCCTGTGGAATGTTTTGTGAAGAGAACATCTTATCTACCTTGACTACTTAGTAAACTTGTGGGGGAGCCGGTGGTTTCTTCCAGGGCATCCTCTGCTACCCTTTGCCAAAGCTCTCTGGATCCAACCTCAGGAGACCCCTCTTCCACTGTTTCCGGGTTTTCTGAGCACCGCTCTTGCGCTCAGCCCGGCTAGTCACACGTGCCTAGGTCCCTGCAGCTGGACCTGCATGAGTGAGCTCCAGTAGCGCATGTGTGAGGGGGGTGGGTGGCAACTGAGCAGGTTGGTGATTTGGACCAGCCTGGCCTGGTGGGAGGCAAGCATGTGATCCTAATCAGAGCCTTCTCGGTGCCCCTCACTCTGACCCCTCACCAGTCCCAGGGACCCTGCTGTGCCCGCTCTGCTTGTCCAAAGATGACTGTCCAGAAAACCCACCACAACAGATCTGTCCAGCAGGATATACGCACTGCTACAATGGAGTGGTCAGGCTCAGAGAAGGTAACCCTGGACACAGGTCCTATGGGGTCAGGAACGGGATCACTGGGAAGTGAGAGTAGAGTCCCTGTGTAGTAAGGGTAACTGAGGGAGGGATAGGACTCAAAGGAGGGTGGGCTTCCCGGAATTGGTCTTCCCTCTAAGAACTGGATGATCCACCAGGTCAGCATCCCTGTTTCCCTGGCCTTCTTTTGCAGAGAGGCTTGCCACCAACCTAAGAGTGCAGGGCTGTCTGCCCCAGTCAGGCTGCAACCTGCTCAATGGGACCCAGATAGTCGGGTCTGTGAATTTGAGTGAGGACTGTGAGTCTAAAACAGGTGAGTTCTACACGGGAGAATCGGACTGTGGCTGTAGGGAAGATGATGCTTGTCACTAGACACCAAAAGACCTCATACCCGTGTCACAACCTCAGGTAATATAGATGCTTATTGCTGGCTTAACAGCACAGAAGGAAAGTGCCTGGATCGGCTCAGTGAGTGTTTTCTTGCTGTGTAGCCCAAGGCAGTCTTGGGATAAGTACCCTGGACAGAGGGGTGAAGTAAGATTGCACTGGGTCCCACAGTCACCAATGAAGCCCTCCAATTAGTCAGATCCTCCCCTGCCTCAAGTGCTCCTGGGAAGGTTTGGGAGACACCAAGGCTCAGAGCTGTGACATAGGAGACCATGTGGCTTGGAAGAAAATCACAATATCCCAGGGCTTCACCAAGATGTGGACCACGGCCTGTAGACCATGCCTTAAAGATGAGCAGTGGTTTTCTGGTAGGAGAAGAAAAGCTCATTGACAGGGAACTACCAGTGCAAAGGCCTGAAGTTGAGGTCAGGCCACTGGTTCCAAGGAGTGTTCCTCACCTATGTGTGACATTGGCCCAACAGGATGGTCTGGGACTGGGCTGTGGTATTTCTGGGATTGAGGGTGATTACAAGTTTTCCCAGCAGTCCACAAGGGGGTGGAGGAGGAAGGAAGAGCTACCCCATGCAGAACAACCCACAGGGGCCAGGCAAAGGAGTGAAAAAGCCACGTGGTGTGTGGGAATGGATATTGGTCCAGAATAATGGACCAGGGAGGGTGAGATTGATTTTGTCACGCACTTGCAAAGCCAGGCTGAGGGGGTGAACATCTCCCAAAGGCGGGGCAATGGAAGTCTGGTGGAGGGACAGAGTCTAGGACCTTTTCTTTCTTGCTGTTTAATGTTGGTTCTAAGAGTCAGGCCCTCATCTCTGAGACAAGGCAATGATCATTACCTACAAGGCATTTTAGAAACACACAGCACACACAAAACAACAAACATAAGCAGCCTAAGTTCACATCGTACTATGCCTCATACACACTGCACATCACATACCACATGTATGCCTCATAAAACACACATATGCTTTAAACCTCATAAATCCCACACAGAGCACTCGATGCATAATACACAAGACATAAACTACATACCGCATACACCATACACAAGCAAAACACAGATATGCAGAATACCCACCATGCCAAACACACATAACACATTGCTTACACGCCACACAGACTGTATCATTACACACATACACCACTCATGCACCCCTCACACACCACACCAGCTTCCACACGACTGTATACACAAACCATGTACATGTCACACAAAGCACAACGACTGTGCTAAAAATAAATGTCCTTAGTATACATCAATATTCTATTAGCTTTCAGTATTGAAGCCATACCTTAGAGAACTCTTTGCATTCACTGGCTAAGTTCAGCTCACCAGGTTAACAAATATTCAGTGGGCACCAGCAAAACAGGCATTAGAACCTTGGAATACAGAGAGACGTCAGGGAATAGGAGCAAGAGAGAAGACCATTCACTTCATGATGACATAAGGGCTCCCCAAGGCACATGGGTGGGAGAGGTCTAAGTACCAAACACAAACTGCCCCATGTGGGCCACAAGAGCACCCCAATTTGAAGGTGAACTAAGGAGTTGGGATATATGAGCTTTTGCACACCCCCTAAGACATTGGACACTGGTTTCTGTGAAGAAAGCCAGAACACAGCGGTTAAGAACCTAGGGTCTGAATCAGAGAGATGAGGGCTCCTGCCCCTGCTCCGCCAGTGAACCAGCTTTTGAGTCTCAGGATCAGCTGAGTGTTAGACACCTCATCGTTTTTATTATTTACAAAGCTTGTAGCACTGGGGGTGCAGAGCGGATTGTTCTAGACACTCAAGGAGGGGAATGTATGCAGAGGTCCTGAGGTGGAAGTCACTGCTCCGACCCTTCCTTCCTTCTCACCGGAGCGCTCACTAGTTCTTCAGTAGGCCACTCAAGGCCTTGATTCTCCTGCAGTGCGGGCTACTGCCACGCCCCCTTGTGCACAGTCTGAGCTCTTCAGCCACAGCTTCCCAGACCCCTTTCCTCTGAGCAGCACTCAATCCCCCTGGAAGGCCCTATTCTCCACTTGTTCCCTGATGCTGTGCTGCATCCCTAGCCCCAAAGACAGCATAGATGGAGCTCTGAGCAAGAGAGAGTAGAGCACGTGAATGGTGAGGCCGGGGCTGGGGGATTTTATACTGAGTGGCTTGGGGGATTTATAGGAACCTTTCGAGCAGAGGACCTGCTGGCTGATTTTGCTTTAAAGAGGATCTCTGGCTGCTGGTTAAGAAACAGGACGAGGGATAACAGAGTGGCTTAGAGGGGGACAAGGAGACTACCGAGGGGGCAAGGGAGAGCCCCTGAGGTCTTGGACCTGGAAGGAAGCAGGTAGATACGGTGGCAAATAGTCTGGTTCTGATATTTTGCAGCACATACCCACAGGATTTCCTGACGGATGCAACATGGTGTGAGCGGAAAAACTGTCGAGAATGAATGTAATATTTCTGTTTGAGCAACTGGAGGAAAGGAGCTGCTATTGACCAAGATGGGGAAGAAGAAAGTAGGGGTGGGGCAAGGAGAGCAAAGATCAGGCTTTAGGAGAAGGGGAAGCAGAGTCGGAATTTTGTCACGCGTTTAGGTTAAAAATGAATAGCCCTCTAGTTTTACATACTTCCCTAGGGGATGCGTGGAGGCTTTGGATTATTGGTATCACTGTTTTCAGATTTCCTACGATCTCATTAGGGGTGGGTCATCCTGTCCCACCCACTAAGACAAAGACTATATATAGATTATTGATCACAGTTGATGATGTCACCCGTACCCTTGCTACCATTACACCAATATTACTAAGAGACTATACTTGCAATATTATCATTACTTACTATTTGGTACGGAGAAGCTGCTTTCCTGGAAGGCCCATGAGAAATGGCCCCTGCTTGTGCGCAGGAGGAAAGAAGGTGAACAGGATTGGGACGCAGAAGCTGCGACTTCTGCATTCCTTCTAAATGTGAGAGTGAGGCGCTCCACAGCCAGGTAACACGGAGCGTGATTCGCAGTGTGATCGCGTTCCCTGGCCTGGGTCCTGGAGGCAACTCTGTGGCGGATTCCCTGGCTCCCGAAGACTCTGAGGATTTTCTCTCCCAGGTATTGTGACCTGTCATCGGGGGAGCATGTTGAAGATAAAGAGAAACTTGGCTGAAGAACCGGTGGAATGGGAGGCAAATTCACAGCAGGTCTGCAATCCTGGGGAGGTGTGTCAGGAGACGCTGCTGCTCATAGACCCAGGTGCGTGGGTGGAAAGAGGGCGGCGCCCCCGGACTGCGCCCTGAACTCCCTGCCCATTTCTCCTTACGTCTAGAGATCTCAATCCAGCTCCATCCTTCCCTGCCACTTGATTTCCTCTAATGCAAAGTGGGGGCAAAGCATTTGCGATGATAGTGCCTCCGTTGCTGGGTGGGGGTGAGGGTCTACTTGGGTAGCTTTGCAAAGAAGTCCCCACAGTGCTGGGTCCTCGGGGCCCTTGGGATCTGGTCCTTTTGGAAAACGGCTTCTGGGCCCCAGTTTAGGTACTGTGGAGCCTGTTGTGCTCCCTGATGGAAGCTTTGTATGCTAGTGGGGACGTGGGAAGAAAGACAGACCAAAAGGAGTCAACAATGCGAACGCAGATAAGAGCCCAGAAGAGGGAAAAGAAGACAGGAAAGGGGAAGGGCAAGAGCTGCGAGTGCACAGCAGGTGCTCCGGGAAGGCTCAGCGAGCTAAAGTATTTCAGGAAGCTCTAAGAAGCGGCAGGGCAGGGGGAGCATCGCGGGTGCAAGCCCTTGGCTCTAAAGCCCCAGCTGGCCTCAGAGCTTCCCCTCCATGAGCCCAGCTTTCTTTCACTCTTTCATCCCAGCCCCAGGGCAGAAATCGCTACTTTTGGGGAGCAAAGGCTGCAGTTATCCCAGCACACAGAGTGCTCCAGCTGTCTCCACTTACTCGAACTTCCCTGGAATACTGGTCGCCTCCTACGCCCAGTTCTGCTCCTCCAACCTGTGCAACACTGCCAGCGACACCAGCGTCCTGCTGAGCTCCCTCTCCAGGCCAGGTAAATGGGAGAAGAAGAAACACAGTCACTTGGGGCTCAAGCAGTTGTTTTCAGCTGTGAGTAGAGATGAACACCCAACCTCCTCTCTGTCTCCCAGCTGCCCCTGTCCTAGGAGAACTGCAGTGCCCCGTCTGTGTGCAGTTCGGGGGGTCCTGCGCACATGATTCCACCCAAATCACCTGCCCTAACGAAACGACTCACTGCTACAAAGGAGACATTGATACTCGTGGAGGTGAGTGGATCCCAGGGACCAGGGGGATGGAATCCAGGACCATATCATGGGAGAGGAATGTGTCTAGGGACCTGAACATACCATTAAGAAAGAAAAGTTAGTGTCTTCGCTTCTACATCTGAGGAAGGAGGGCCTGGATTTAGACTCCTAGGTCTGAAGATGAGGTTAAGGGTCTGGGTTCTTGGGTGTGAAAGAGGTCAGATAGGTATTTGACCTCCTAGGTCTGAGGGAGGAGAAGCTAGAGGACAGGAATTCTGTATCTGCTGAAGGAAGTTCTGGGGCCTGGACCTGTGGTTCTGAAAGAGGAGAGTCAGGAGCTTTAATTCCTGAGTCTGAGGGATGAAGGGCTGCAGCCTGGGCTTCTAGTTATGGGATGAGGCCTGTACCCCTGGGTCTGAGGGAGAAGGGGTTTGAGATCTGAATCCCTACGTCTGAGGGAGGAAGGGTTGAGCCCTGGACTCTTCTATCTGAGGCAAGACAGGATCAGGCCTAATCCCCTGTGTCTGAGGAAAGAGAAACTATAGCCTGGACCTGTGGGCCTCAAAGAAAATGAACGGAGGCTGGACACCTGGCTTTGAGGAAAGAAGGACTGGTGACTGGAAGTGTGGGTTGAGGTAGTGGGGTAGGGACCTGAACACCTGGTCCTCAAGGAATAGAGGCTACATTATAGATCCCTAGTTCATGGCTGGGACTTAGGTCCTTTGGTATGAGCTAAGAGGTGCCATCCTTGGCTTCTAGGTCTGAAGGAGTAATACAGGAGTCAGGACTCCTGGGTCTGAAGAAGAAAGGGATAGGGCTTTGACCCCAGTTCTGAAAGAAGGTTGGGAGCTTGGGCCCCTGGGGCTCAAGTATGAGGGGCTGGCACCAGGACTCCTGTTCTTAGGCAGAAGAGTTCATGCTTGAACTCCTAGATGAGAGGAGGAAGAAGCCAGAGCCTAGAACACTGAATCTGAGGGATCAGGTTCAGGGCCCTGTGCTCTTGGTTTGAGAGAGGAAAAGCTGGGGCTTGGACTTCTGTGTCTCAGGTAGGAGGGCTAGGGGTTGGATGCCTGAGTCGGAGGATTTAGGTGTCTTCCATCACTGTCTTCACCATTTAGGTGGGATCTCTGCCACATTCAGCATTCAAGGCTGCATGCCTGAGAGTTCCAGATCCTTGTTGAAAAATGTCCAGAAGATTGGGATCTTCTCTGTGAAAGAATACATTGGGGAGAAGACGAAAGACACTATTGTAATAACACATAGTGGTGCCCATGCCCCCTACCTGGCTTGGATAGTGTACCTGGGGCCATTTATAGCTCTTTGGTATGGAGGCTTTCTCCTCTATGCTAAATCCATTTTTCCATGATCCTTAGTCCCTGCTGAGTACCTAAACACTGTAACTGAAGAACCTTATGGACTGGGACACCAAATTATTTTCCCACCCATGAATTATCATGTCTCCACACCCCTACGTACTCTGTCACCTGATAATAACACATAGGAAAGCTTGGGAGCAGCTGAACTTGTCTCTATGGAAAAAAGGAAACATTCAAGTACTGGTAATAAAGACTTTGTCCTTTCTCCTAATACTCAGATTTCTGTACATAAGGGGAAGGCAGGACATGACGTAGAAAAGGAGTTCAATGAGAGAATCTCCATCCAAGGCCTGCTGTTCAATGGCTGGTCCACATCTTCGTTCCAGCCTGGATGATAGAAGAACCTTCAGGGTAATGTAGGCCCAAGTATTTCAGCATGGCCACACCATGGGAGACGAAGGTGCACCATGACCATGAACTTCTTCCTTATTGTTCAGGCTCTCAGTGCAAACAAGGGGCTCACCTCAGCTGAGTAACTGGAAGATGGGTTAGTCAGAGGATAATGGATGTAAAAGAATGAGAACGGTCAAGAGCAAAGGGGTTACCACAGTGTCCCAGGCCTTTTACTGTTGTGTCTTTGTTGCCATCATAGACCTGAAAAGGTGAAGAGAAGGAGCCGCTGCTGGGAGGGAGGATGCTTTAGAAATAGATGCCTCATGGGACCTCTGATCTCAGGCTCAAACATGCAACCAGCTTGTGACACTATGGGGAGGAAGCTGGGGAATGAATATTCAAGTGTCACTTGATGTCCTCCTTCTGGTCTCTTCTTGGGGCTCCCTATTGGCTGAACCCAGCTGGAAGATACAAACTAGGATGTCTAGCTGCGGTAGTCCCCATAGGGCAGCCAAACACAGCACAGGGACGAGGAATAATGAGAGAAGAGTGAGTCTGCAGAAGGAATCAGGCGTCAGCCACAGCTCACGCCTGCTATCCCTCCTTTTCTTCTGTCCAGACAAAAGTCAGTGTCCTTAATCCAGAAGCCACATACATCCAATGAGATATTAGACTATTATCATAACTTGTGTGACAATGACTGTGAAGTCACGCTCATTGATAGACCACCGGTGGTCATCAGGAGAGGAAGATGGGAAGGAGGAAAGTTAAAACAACTGCTAAAGTGCCGCTTGTATAAGTGGCTGCCATGAAAGAAATCCTTCTGCTACCCATTCCATATTCCCTTGTCACCTGCCAGTGTGGAGAGTTGATGCATGAAGCAAATCTTCATTCACGTGCAGAGGGAATATTGAACTATCTTGTCTTTATTGATTTTTTTTCCAGTGAATGAGGACTGAGCCAAAGAAATATTCCCAAAGAATTGCCTATCTTTGAAACATACTCTCCTTGATACATCAACCTGACCTCCTTTTGTTAGTGAGGTTCAGTCACCTGGATCAATACAGTAGCCCTCATCTTGGTTGGTTGTTTCTGCAGATGAAAAGCACAAAATAACTCAGAGACACACGTAGATATCTATTGACTACAACTCTGAGAGGATTCTTCATCCAAACAAACACAGGACTTGGTGTGGTGCTGCACACCTATCATTCCAGCACTTGGGAGGCTGAGGCAGGAGGATTGCTGAGAGTTCAAGGCCAGGCTGGGCTACATAGTTCAAGACCACAAGACCAGACTGCATTATAAAGTGAGAACCTGTCTCAAAAAAACAGAATAGATTCAATCCCTGGTTCTGCAAAAAAAAAAAAAAAAAAGGAATAGGACTGGAGAGATAGCTCAGTGGCTTAAGCACCTGCCTGGCAAGCGCAAGGTCCCAAATTCAATCCACCATGGCCAGGAGCACTGTGCCAGCCCCAAAACCAGGCAAGGTGGCGCACACCTGTAATCCCAGTGCTGGGGAGGCTGAGACAGGAGGATCACTATGAGTCTGAACTGTCTAGCGAGACTCTGTATCCAAAACAAAAAAATCAAAAAACCACACAGAACAAGCACAGGGTCATACGGTATATAAGCCAACATCTGCAGGGGCTTGTCAGGCTCTCAGTGTAACCTGGGTAGGAACATGATGAGAATGAGAAAAAGATAGACAACTGGGTCAGGAGGAGGTCCTCTCCCTCTGTCAGGAGGAGGAGAACTGCCCGAGAACAGCAGAGTTTATTTGCACCCTGGAGAGGTGGATGTCAGTTTCAGCCTCCCTGCCCAGCAGTCAGTTAAGAAGCTGCCATGGCTTGTTACATGCTTCGAGGAGTCCCGTGTTCCTGGGCTGGCTTTGGCCTGCACAAGTAATTACCTTCCAGCTTCAGCCGCTCCCAACAAATATCTTTCCATGGGTTGTCAAGTATAATAGTGGGAAGAATATATCTTTTATCCTCCTCTAGTAACTTAATGACATAGAAGATCTTCCTCAAAATAAAAAATAAAAATTATGTATATAAAGGGTTTGTCATGTAGCTCATTCAAAGTGCCCCCTTTTCCAAGGAATGGCAGGTAGAGGGAGAAGTCTATCTCAAGAGTTAGAAGAAAATTAGTAGTGAGACCCTAATCACCCTGTAGACCCTTCCCTAAGAGAGAGAGAGAGAGAAATCCTTCCTCCTATAGTGTCCCTCTAGCACCTTCTACTGGCAACTTCTTACTATGCCTAAGAAAGTTTGGAAAATATTCGCAAGCTTCAGCTCTGGTACCACAAGCAGAACAATGAAAAGGTAAGATGCAAAAAAAAAAAAAAGATAATTTTCCCAGAATCTGTTTCCACACATACAACAGGATTCACGCCAGTGTTGACTGCCCCGGCCATGTGGTGGTCTCAGCGTGTGCCTTGCTCCTACTAGAACAGGCCTGTGTTTCTCTGTGTGAAGCCTCACTCTGGCGGGTATGGAGGAAAATGCCTCTCATGAGAAATCTGCCCCAGATGCTATCTCTGGAAGGGTTCCGTGCAGGGAAGGGTTAGTTATCGCACAAGGAGGGGAGGGTATCTTCACAGGTGGTCACTATACAGGGACACTGGTCAGCTCCAAGTCCCTGTTCTGTGTCTGAGGACCACACTCCCTTCTCCACCAGTGCCACAAGCTTAGTACAGCCTGGTAGAGTTAAGCACTGTTAGATAAACTGAGGCACAGCATAATTTAAGAGAAGTGATTTCCACAATGATTGTTGAATTGGGCAGTTCCAAACTAGAAGTTGTATGGGGACCGCACAAAAGGGGACCCACAGGGAAAGCTGTTAAGGTTTATATCTGGAGGACCTCTCCAAGCCAATGTGCTCTGAGGCAAGGCTTCTGTAAGGTGAGTGGATTACAGAGCACTACAGCTGGCTTGGTAGTAAGAATGGAGGTCTGTTAGGGAGAGGTGGATCACTGAGGGTACGTCTTGGTAGGGCACACCTCTCTCCCTGTCTCTCTCTGTCTCTCTGTCTCTGTCTCTGTCTTTGTCTTTGTCTGTCTCTCTGTCTCTATCTATCTATCTATCTATCTATCTATCTATCTATCTATCTATCTCCCCTCATCTTTCCTCACCCAAGCCCTTTCCACCATGCTGTGGACCATGCTGTGGACTGAAATTTCCAAAACGTGAGCCACAATAAACCCCTCCTCTAAGTCTTGAGTGTCAGGTATTTTGTCCTGGTGAGTAGGAAAGTGAGTCGGACAAGATTTTATAGGACAGAAACAGAAGGAGCGCAAACACAACAGTTAATTACCTACAGATATGCAATTGTCTTATTTATTCTATGCCACTGGAAAATCTGTAGTTGTAAAACTGTTGGACGCTTCCGGTTGGTTGATCTTGTGCTATTTTCCTTTCACATAGGCATTTACATGACAGGTCAAATTCACATTCATTTCTATATGCTGTCTCAGTTACTTTTTTCTTGTTGCTGGGACAAATACTCGACACCCAAAATGAAGGAAGGAAAGATTGATTTAGTTCACAGTTACTGGAGGTTTCAGTCTCTACTCAGCTGGCTCCAAGGCAGAGCGGCACATGCTGCCGAGGGCAGCAGTTCTCAGCAGCAGAAAGCAGCAAAACAGCAAAAGCAAAAGGAAGGAGTAGCGGCAATGATGGCTGCAGAGAGCAAGTCTGTCTCCCTTAAGTTGCGTTCAGGCTGTCTTCCCCCGGCTGTGTGTAGCACTCACACCCATAATCCCAGCAGTACTAAGACCCATAATCCCAGCCTTGATCGTGAATTAATCTCAAACTCTAGAAGTCCCCACCCCAAGACTGCATTAGGGTTTGGGGAGGGGGAGACAACTAGACACAAAGCATAGCATGTGCAACAAACAATGTTAAAGTCTCCTGTGTGGCTTCACCAGCTTTGTCTCTACACGGAGAGAGCTTTTCAGGCTCAGTCTCAATCTTATTTGAACAGTATGTTCCTTATTGCCCAAATCTGCAAGTCTTTCATGCGTCTTCTGGGCTTGGCGCTCAACCAAAATCTGCCTTCATCTTACAAGATGACAAGGAACTCGGTATGAAAGATGCTTTCTGATTGACCCCTAGCGTTTCCACGTGAATGTCTGCATCTTTGCACTGCTGCTGTTCCTCATACTGCTTTCCAAAGAAATCAGCTGAGGGGGCTGGTGAGATGGCTCAGTGGTCTAAAGCACCTACTTGAAACAAGCTTGGCAAAGCACAGGGACCACGGTTCAATCCCCCAGCACCACATGCCAGCCAGCCCCGCCCCCAGGTGGGCTGAGCTGGACACACACACACAATAAATAAATGTAATAAATAAAAATAAATAAATATTAAAAAAAAAAGAAATCAGCTGAGCCATCACATCCACTCCACTTTCCCTAGTGCCAAAGTGCCACAGCTACTTTGCTTCCCAATTCCTCACACGTTCTCGTCACTTATCCCACTGCTGCTCTCCACTCAACTATCCAAGTGAAGCTTGATTCATTCATTCATTCATTCATTCATTCTTTCTTTCTTTCTTTCTTTCTTTCTTTCCTTGCAGCACCAGGGATCAAACTCAGGACCTTGGACTTGCCAGGCAGGCACTTATGCCACTGAGCTACACCCTCAGCCCCCGAGTGAAGCTTTAAGGATATCAGTCGTGTCACTCAGTGCTCCCTGAAACCCTCTTCCCATCTCACTCATGGCAATGTTGGAATCTTTCCATGATCACAAGGCCCTGCAGACTTGGGCTTCCACTTGTCTGTTAGCAAATGTCATCACAGCCCCCAACCCCTGCTGTCCTC